TACATACACGTACGCACACATACATACAGACATACTGGCATACACACATACAAATACGCGCGTGCATTGCCCAAACATTGACTGCACGCATGTCATTATTACTGGGTTTCGTATCGGCAATTGCTTGGTGTCTTGGTGCTCGCCACATTGCGGCCCGCGCCGCCTCGCGAGCGCCTCGGGTGCGCCCCGCGCTTGGGAAGGCATGCCAAGGTTGCGCCACGCTGCCGCCCGTGCCGCCATCGTGGGCGCCCCACGCTTGAAGGGTATACCGAGCTGCGCCACGTTGCCGCCCGCGCCGCGTCGTCGGCGCCCCGTGCCCGTAGCTCACACGACAGACGTTTCACGACATAGCTTTCCCCACATAACGTGCACCGTATATAGTACACCCCATAGATGACAACGCGTCGTTTACGCCCCACAGGCTACCTCTAACTCACACCGCCCAACTTACACGACATAGTTCACACCACCGAGCTTTCACCGCATAGTGGCCACCCCCTCGGTTCAGACTAAGTAGCTCGCACGACATAGCTGTCACCGCATAGCTTGCACCGCGCGAGCTTCACTTCCGCACTGCAGTAACGTAGAGATTAGCACATGGGGACATGAATACATACATAAATACAAATACCCTATACGTACATGTACATATTCATATACATATACATACGCATCTGCATTTACATATACATACTACACGTACACACATACATGTACCTATACAAATACCTGAACACTTACATACATATATGTATGCATATGCATATACATACACATACACATGCTTACACAATAACAAGTTTATATACATATACATATACATATACACATAATTATAGCCGAGGTGCAGTATCCCCAAACAGAGTTTTTAGCCCCACTGCGGTTTCCAAGGTCGATTGCGTGCCCGTCCAGTGCGGGCTGGCATGGCATGTTAAACACGCCTTCTCCTCCTACTCCTCCTCCTCCTCCTCCTCCACCTCCTCTTCATCCCGAACGGCATCTCGGAGCCCAGAGTTGCGAGGATGTCTCCAGCGTAACGGGCTGGACCACCTCGCGCGCGGCATTTCGGACCCATAGATGCGACGATGTCTCGGGCGAAACGTGCTGCGAGGAAGTCTCAGGCGAAACGGGCCAGACCACCTCGAGCGCGGCGTCTCAGAGCTCCGAGTTGCGGGGGCCTCCTGGGGCCTCCTGGGACCTCCTGGTGACCTCCTGGGGCTTCCTCCTGGGCCTCCTGTGGCCTCCTGGACCCCACCTGGGGCTTCCTGAAGCCTCTTGGGGCTCCCAGGGGGGGATATCTAACATGTAGCCGTCGGGGCCCCCAAAAATGGGGGGGGGCCACAAGAGCAGGAAAAATCAACGAATCGACACCGGATGTGTATTAACTTGACACGTTCTGATAGGGGGGCCTCCTGGGGCCTCCTGGGAGCCTGCTGGGAATCTCCTGCGGACCCCTGGGGCCTGTCCTGGGCGTCCTGCGGCCTCCTGAAGCTCTCTCGGGCCTCCTGGGGCTCCCAGGGTCCCAGGGGGGATATGTAACATATGGTCTTCTGGGCCCCCAGGCTGGACCACCTCTTGCGCAGCATCTGAGAGCTCAGAGTTGCGAGAATGTCTTGTCGAAACGGGCCGGACCACCTTGCGCACGGCATCTCAGAGCTCAGAGTGGCGAGGATGTCTCAGGCGAGATGGGCCGGACCACCTCGCGCAGGGCATCTCGGAGCCCAGAGTTGCGAGGATGTCTCAGGCGTAACGGGCTGGACCACCTCGCGCGCGGCATTTCGGAACCCAGAGTTGCGACGATGTCTCGGGCGAAACGTGCTGCGAGGAAGTCTCAGGCGAAACGGGCCGGACCACCTCGAGCGCGGCGTCTCAGAGCTCCGAGTTGCGGGGGCCTCTGGGGCCTCCTGGAACATCCTGGTGACCTTCTGGGGCTTCCTCCTGGGCCTCCTGTGGCCTCCTGGACCCCACCTGGGGCTTCCTGAAGCCTCTTGGGGCTCCCAGGGGGGGATATCTAACATGTGGCCGTCGGGGCCCTCCAAAATGGGGGGGGGGGCACAAGAGCAGGAAAAATCAACGAATCGACACCGGATGTGTATTAACTTGACACGTTCTGATAGGGGGGCCTCCTGGGGCCTCCTAGGAGCATCCTGGGAATCTCCTGCGGACCCCTGGGGCCTGTCCTGGGCGTCCTGCAGCCTCCTGAAGCTCTCTGGGGCCTCTGGGGCTCCCAAGGTCCCAGGGGGGATATGTAACATATGGTCTTCTGGGCCCCCAGGCTGGACCACCTCTTGCGCAGCATCTGAGAGCTCAGAATGCGAGAATGTCTTGTCGAAACGGGCCGGACCACCTTGCGCACGGCATCTCAGAGCTCAGAGTGGCGAGGATGTCTCAGGCGAGATGGGCCGGACCACCTCGCGCAGGGCATCTCGGAGTCCAGAGTTGCGAGGATGTCTCAGGCGTAACGGGCTGGACCACCTCGCGCGCGGCATCTCGGACCCCAGAGTTGCGACGATGTCTCGGGCGAAACGTGCTGCGAGGAAGTCTCAGGCGAAACGGGCCGGACCACCTCGAGCGCGGCGTCTCAGAGCTCAGAGTTGCGTGGGCCTCCTGGGGCCTCCTGGGGTTTCCTCCTGGGCCTCCTGTGGCCTCCTGGACCCCACCTGGGGCTTCCTGAAGCCTCTTGGGGCTCCTGGGCGCATTCGTTCGGACCTCCCCCGAATGCCTCCAGCAAGGCCCCCGCGGGTGGCCGCGGCGCCGCGGCGAGTGGCCGCGGCGCTCCTCCCCGCCATTGACCATGCCAACCCAATGTATGACTGGTCCGCGCACCTGTCTCGGCGCCAGCGGCTTCGCTGGGCCCCGCTGGTGGGGCGATGCCGGCCGGCCACTTTTAGGGCAACTCTTTGTGCGCGGCTCGCGCTTGCTATTTACTTTTCGCCTGGGGCATCCTGGGTCGCCGCGATAATGGCCGAGCTGATCACAATCAGCGCGCTGGCTGTTGGCCTTTCGATGGCCCACCATCTTGCGGTCGACCTGAAAGGAGCCGCTGGCGTTGACCTTCTTGGGGCCCCGCCACTGCCGAGGAACAACGAAACCGCGCTTCTGGCGTTGTGCCACTGTCCTCTGCTTCTACCTCCAGCCTGCCATCAACGCCTCCTGCGCGTCCTCCGGCGCCTCGTACTCCTCGTCGTCGGGATCGTCGTCACGGCCCAAGCTCGTCGTCGACCTGGGCGCCATCCTCGAAGAAGATCCATTCATCGCCTCTGAGGTCTCGGTCGCTTTCGTCGTCTGCTTCGTCCTCGACATGCTGCGCCTCCTATAGGTCGTCGTCGTGTTCGTCGTTGTCGTCGCCTTTTATCCACGTTGCGCACCTGGTGGCCAGGGCGCCTTTGAAGTGCGAGCGGCCTGCGAGCTTGGGGAGGGGGCGGGAAGCGACTACCCGAGCTCCCGGAGGGGCGCCCGCGCTCGCGCTGCGCCGCCGCCAACAGCAAGCGGCGAGGAAGCGCAAAGCGTTCCTCGGAGTCGCCCCAGCCAGCCACCTGGCTGTAGATGATCAGGCCCAACTCCACGTCCGAGAGCTGGTTGAGGTTGCGGATCACCTCCACGGCTTTGCGCACCTCCCAGTAAATGTTGGTGCTCGTCACGACCGCACCGTCGAACTCCGGGAGTTTCATTTGCGACAACAATAGACGCGCACGTCTGGGACCGCGATCCCGACGCAAGGCCAAGAG